AACAATGATACACATCAGAAAATTATCATTGACATACTATTTAATCTGCAAGTATAGAACTTTGTCAAATGTCACCAAGTGTTCTTTTAGTTATTTTTCATTTATTAAAGAATGTTTCTCACTCTTTAGTAAATAGCTTCTACACAGTTCACCCTTTTTTCAGGTACAGTTCTCTGAGTTCCAGCAACCCCCTAGGTGACCCCCTACTATTCTGGGCTGGGCATGATTTCCTGACTCTCTCCAAGCAGTCGTGGGTCTCCCAAGGTCTGGGCCCAGGATTCCCTTCTTGCCCCTAGTGGCCATGGGTCATCATCTGGTCCCAAAGATGGCTGGGTTTGCTGCTCTTCCTCCAGCAGCCTCAAGTTGTTCCAGTGGGGCTGCATGCCTTTCCTGGGGGGTCATGGTCTGAATGTTTCCACCCAAAATTCCTTTGTTGAAATTCAACTCCCCACGGAGATGGCATCGGGAAGTGGGCCCTCTTGGAGGGCGCCTCTGCCATCAGGAACAGGAAGGTGGTCCTTTCAGAAGAGGCCCAGAGAGCTCCCCCACCTCTTGTGCCCTGTGAGGATGCAGCAAAAGGCGCCACCTGTGAACCAGGAACCGCGCCCTCACCAGACACCGCTCCTGCCACTGCCTTGGTCTTGGGCCCCTTGGGGAATAGCTTGCCGTTCTTTAGGAACTGTTCGTCTGCGGCAGCCCGAACAGTCAGACACACAGGGATTGCTGCTTCCAGGCCTACAGCACAGCGAAGTGTTTCCAGACGCTTGCTGGCTCCCAAACCCGCAGGGCTCCTGTCCTCTCACACTAGGCCACACTTGGCTTTGAGCAACTGATTGAAAATTTTAGCTGAATTCCTCTTACCTGCTTATGGGACGGCTGGCGTCTCCACCAGGCAAGCAAGTGCCCACGCCCTGTGTCTCCTGACAGAATCCTGTGTCTCCACAGAGGCTGCCCTGAACCACGCTGTGTGATGCAGTCACACAGGCCGTGATCTTACAGATCAGTTAGCGTTTTCCCGTTGTTGTCTTAGGGATGAGAGTAGCATTTTTTCTACTTTTCTGCTCTCAGTAGAAGCTAGATGTTCATTTTACATTTTTGATCATCTGTGAATTTGATACTTTTTTCCTAATGCAATTTACTGAGAAAACACTTGGGGAAAAAAAATCCTGTTGTTTCCTGACATACCAGTGATGCGAAAAAAAAAAATCAACAAAAACCATACCTCCACATCGATGAAAGCTTTCAGGTGGCTGTTCGTTGTGTTTGGAAATTTCTCTTCCAGAGAACAAATCCTCATCGGGAAAATGAAAGCCATCACATTTTCGGAGGACAGGTCTAAGACTAGAATATAATGATACAGTGATTAAGAAGCTGGGTTTGGAATTGGGGTTTAATTATGCCTTCCACTAGACAGGTTCTCTCTTGCAGCTGCTTCTGACACATATTGAAATAATCATTCATCATTTTCCTGGGACATCTAACGAAAGCAGTCTGATTGGCTAGCAGTTGCCTCTGTCAAGCTGAGGCACGGATTTGCCTGCTTGCTTGTGAAAAGCTATATAGTCTACCCTGAAAGTTATGAGGACCTGCAAGTATTTGAAGGGAAGCTGGTAATTAAAAAGAAAATATGTTTATTACAGGGAAGTGCAGCTTCCTGGAATAGCTACAGTGTGCTATTATATTGAAAATGCTTAATATTATGAAGTAACACAAAATAAATTCCTGAACATGGAACGATCCCAACATGATAATTGGCTGCTCTGAGGTGTTGCCCCCAGGGCATGGCAATAAAGCCACAGTAGGTTTTAACCTTGTTGGGAAATTGTATCGTTTCTTTTTTTAAAAATTTATTTATTCGAAAGAGTTACACAGAGGAGAGGCAGAGAGAGAGAGAGAGGTCTTCCATTTGATGGTTCACTCCCCAGATGGCCGCCAACGGCTGGAGCTGCACCGATCCAAAGCCAGGAGCCCCACGAGGGTGCAGGAGCCCAAGGACTTGGGCCATCTTCTACTGCTTTCCCAGGCCACAGCAGAGAGCTGAATTGGAAGAGGAGCAGCCAGTACTAGAACCAGCGCCCATATGGGATGCTGGTGCTTCAGGCCAGGGCATTAACCTGCTGAGCCACAGCGGCGGCCCCCGAAATTGTATCATTTCTTCAAGACAGCCATTTACTCACAAACATTGAAGGGATTTCCTCTGTATTTGCTGCTGCGGGAATGTGAAATGTTGTAAAGGAAATTATTCTGAATAATTATCAGCAGGCTATGGGCTCTTTCTTGTCCCACTTTGCCAAAATACAGAATTTCCAGCAGCGAGTCCCCCATTGTACCAAAGTCCAAGCTCCTTTGTCTGCCTCTGGGGGTCAGGGTAAAGCCACCGTAGATTTCTTTTCCATCTTCCCCATGAACACAAACCTCAGTGTCCCAGACACTTGGCCAGGTGCCTTCCTTGACCCCTAGCTTCAGGTACTAAGGGTCTGAAGCATCTCCCTGACAACCCAAAGCTCCTGTCTGTCAGGTACCTCGTTGAATGAAGATGTCCTTATTCGCCTCCACAAAAAGGCTGTGTCCTTACACCAGTGTCCTTCACTGACACACCTCTGGGTAGAGGGTAACTTTCTTATGCTATTTGGGTGTGTTTTCTTTTAAATTAGAACAGAGGATGGGAGAATCTCAAGCAGCCATCTCCCAAGGTACTTGGTCCTACTGTGTGGGCTGGCCTCCTTGTCCGCACCAGGCTGGACGTTTTAACCTTCCTAATCTTGGTGAGGCTACAGATCCACTTTTCCCAGAGCAGGTTTTCCATGAGAGGAACGAAGGGATTGGTCTGTGGGTCTACACGTTCCCATCAGTTCCTCCTCATAGCACCTGTGTAGGTGTGCGCAATTTGCAAACACAACAGATTTTTCTCCTTTCTGCTGCTTAAACATTGTGCCTGGCATCCAAGTATTGGTTTAATATTTTGGACAGATTTAACTGGACAAAATCCTGTCCAAGTTTCTGGAACTCCCAGTGCCACCAGGTTTCCTTTTAGGAAAAAATATTCTCTATTGACTGTAAACTGAAAAAGGAAGACCAAAAATCCCGGTGTGTCCCCTCCAACAGAGTGAGTAACCAGGATCCTCTTCTTCTACAGGATCAGTATCTGTGGGTGGGGCCAGGCCATTGTCCTTAGCATGACAAGGACACCCTCCCCGTGGGGGGCCCATGGTGTTATGGTGTGGGGTTTAGCTAAAGAGATACCAAGGAGAAAACACATTGTATGGCCATTGTATGGAAGCTGTTGTAAGTCCTCTGGTGTTGAAGAGGCGAGATTGACATCCCATACTTGTGATCCATCTGGAAACACAACCTGGCAGAAGATAAAAGGAACCTTAGAGTTCAGCCAAGCCGCTCTGTGGAGAGAAGTTCAGAGTTGGGTTCATGAAGAATTGATCATTTCAGTTCAACTTTAAAGAAACTTTACTTGTATTCATTTTGTTTTGTACTCTTCTATATATATATTTTTTTTTTTACAGGCAGAGTGGACAGTGAGAGAGAGAGAGAAAGGTCTTCCTTTTGCCGTTGGTTCACCCTCCAATGGCTGCCGCGGCTGGCGCATCACGCTGATCCAATGGCAGGAGCCAGGTGCTTCTCCTGGTCTCCCATGGGGTGCAGGGCCCAAGCACTTGGGCCATCCTCCACTGCACTCCCTGGCCACAGCAGAGAGCTGGCCTGGAAGAGGGGCAACCGGGACAGAATCCGGCGCCCCGACCGGAACTAGAACCCGGTGTGCCGGTGCCACAAGGCGGAGGATTAGCCTAGTGAGCCGCGGCGCCGGCCCTGTATTTGTTTTGATATCAGAGGTCCTTCCTAGGGATTATATAAGTCTGCGAAAATATCTATAAAAGTTTATTTGCTGAGGCATTCTTTATCTTCACTTTTTCTTAAAGATTTGTGTATTTATTTGAAAGTCAGAGGTACACATAGAGAGAGAGGCAGAGAGAAAGAGAGGTCTTCCATCCACTGGTTCACTTCCCAAATGGCCGCAACTGCCAGAGCTGTGCCGATCTGAAGCCAGGAGCCAGGAGCCTCCTTTAGGTCTTCTCACGTGGATGCAGGGGCTCAAGGACCTGGGCCATCTTCTACAGCCTTCCCAGGCCATAGAGAGCTGGATTGAAAGTGGAGCAGCCGGGACTTGAACAGGTGCCCATATGGGATGCCGGCACTTCAGGCCAGGGCCAGGGCATTAACCCACTATGCCGCAGCGCCAGCCTCTATCTTCAATTTTTATGGGGTACGGTGATATTTTGATGCAGCACACACTGTGTAATGTCTAAGCATTTCCTCATACATTCAACATTTCTTTATGGTGAAAACATTAGAAAACCCATCTTCTAGTTTTTTAAATAGGGTAATATACAGTACATTAACGTTACTCTATGGTGAAATAGAAACCCAAAGCATCTAACTCCTGTCTGACTCTAACTCAGTCCCCACCCACCAAGCTTTACCCATCCTCCCCACCCTCCTTCCCCCTTGTGCCACTGGTAACCACCATTACACTTCTAACTTCTGGAAGACCACCTGTTTAAAGACACTGCACACGAATGAGATCATGTGTGACTTCCCTGTGTGTGCTTGTGTTATTGTACCTAATGGCCTGTAGTTCCATCTGTGAAGTATCATTTTTGATAAAGAAATATTGGGAATAACCTAACTGTCCCTCAATAGAATATTATTTGTGTACTAGTTGATGCATTCACAGCTTGATATCAGCCAGGGTAGGAGTGCTTAGACCACTGAACCAGGCAAATATTGTAAGTCGAGGCCATCATTCCTCACCTGGATTTGGGGGTTCAACATTTGATAGTCATTGAGTACGTTTTGAGGTATGTGTGTCTCAGAACACACAGAATGCTATAATAGAGTTGAATCTACAATTATGTTTCTGACCCAGAAAACATTCTGACTTGTCTTTGAGAAGTAAATAGAACATCCTTTTCTTGTGTCTTTTGTAGGGAGAACAGGGACCTCAAGGCCTTCCAGGGCCAAAAGGCACAATGGGCCTTGGTCTCCCAGGCCAGAAGGTAAGTATTCTAGGACTGTAGAGACATGCTTAGGTTTAAGATCTTATAGCTTAATCCCAGGGAGTTCTCGTCTCTGTGTGCGTGCACGCATGTGCATTGGTGTGTGTGTGTGTGTGTGTGTGTGTAATGCTTCTCCTTACAACTCTCACAGGAAAGAAAATCCCATTGAAATTGAAGACATATTTTATATCTACACACAATTTCACTTTATAAATTCTCCTTTTCTGCATTGTTAAAAGCTGGATAATGAAGGAATACATCATTACCACATACCGTGTAGGCGATACCAGCTAGCTCAGGCGTCTGGTAAATTATGTAGTAGTTCAATTTCCTGAAGGCAATGAGCTGATCAGAAGGTATCTCAGGTCTCCTGACTTTGGGATTTCTGGTTCATCCTGGTTTAGATTATGGGACCTCAGGGCATGAAAATAACCTGTCCTCCATTTTCTTCATATGATGTATTTTCATCAACAAGAACTGCACGTCTTCAAGAGATTCCAGTTGCCAATTAGCCAAATTGTAGAGGTTTTATTAGTTGGCTTTAATGAACACTTTCTGAACTTGCCTTCTTACATGTTTTACAGGGAGAGCATGGAGAACAGGGCGACGTGGGAAGGAAAGGTGACAAAGGGGAGGTGGGAGAGCCCGGATCTCCAGGAAGGCAGGCAAGGAGCGATGTTCAAAGTCCCACCATGATTTTGTATTCTAACTGCTTCAAGCTTGTACTAACTGTTACTCTTCTCCTGATCCATAGGGGTTACAAGGACCCAAAGGAGACCTGGGACTGACAGTGAGTATCTCACATAGAGGGTCATTGAGGGTTTTGTGCTTGCAAAATTATTACATTCGTGTTTTGACTTTAGAATTCTGAATATTTTGGATGCAGTTTCTGTTTAAATGATAGCAACTGCTACCCTCCCAGCACTGACGCATGAGGTCATTGAATCTGAATGCGAAAGGAGGAGTGACAGCAGCAGCCTCGTGCGGCCTCGTGGTGGATGCACGTGACCACGCCCCTCTGAGCACTGTAGAAATGACCACGCTGCTATTCTTGATAACAAGGACTTAGGCTGCTTAAAAGGAGCCAAAGGACTTTATTTAATGTGTTCCTTCTCACTTTGACCGAGGCCTCTTTCTCCCTGAACTAGTTCCTTTAGGTGGTATTCTAAGGAGAATAGCGGTCACAAAATCGGGATTGTGTTGAGGGGACAATGGAACCTTTTCCTTTTTTGGCTTCTTCATGGTTCATGATCCAGAGATACTCATCTTATGCACATTCCGGAAAAGTCAGGTGTGAGCTGCTAGGAGCTCAGGAGGTAAAGACAAGAGCAGACTCAGCCTGTGATGAAGAGATCTGCGTGTGTGTTGATGACCTGCCTTCCTTCCCTCTTTGTTCCCCACCACAAACGAGACCCCACAGTTGCCTTCAGCGGGTGAGGCAGGGAGGCTTGCAGCAATTCCTTCCCTAAAGTAGCAGGGGAAAGTATAAGCATGTGGCCCCTGGAATATTCCCTGTAGGTGTACACCTGCCCCAGTGTTCCAGCCTGGGGAGTGGGACTCTTTTCCTTCAACCATTCACTTGTTTATTTAGTCATTAGTGCACCAACGTTTGTTGGGGTTGGGCTCAGAGACTGACACTAGGGAGATAGTAGAGAATAAGAGACAACTTCCCAGGATTCAAGGAACTCACAGTTTAATGGAGAAAAGACACAGAAGATGTTGACTTCATCGTGGGATAAATGCTGTGATAGCAGAAATGGTTATAGGTGTTCAAGGCAGAAAAATCGATGTATGATGATGTTTGGGTCAAGAGAGTTTCTATTCTTGAACAGAAACTTTTTAGCCAAGATGAAGAGGCTGTACAGATGGAGACACTATTTTGACAAGTAGAGACACTATTTTGACAAATGGAGACACTATTTTGTTGACCTTGGCTTTCTAGAGTATAGAAGAAGGGACTAGCATGAAGGGAAGAACAAGGGACAGGAGAATTTGCATCAGCTGAGAATCTAGTTTGTGGTGGGTACCCTGCTGGCCCCCTTCCCATCAATACCACGGCTACCCAGTACTGCAAGTGCTTGGGGGACCCTGCTTTCTAAAGCTGCACTTTGGACTCCCAGTCCTTCTCCTGTTGCAGTCCTTCCTCTGGGCAAGGAGTCCCCAGAGCCTAGGGTGTCACCACCCTGGGCATGTGCCCCTCCAAGTCACACTTTAGATATCCAGGACTTCAGAATTCCTGGCCCAAATGACCCCAGATTTGGAGAACTGATGAACTTGTCCTGGATGCATGGGCTCATCTAGGAGGTAGCCAAAGGGTAATGTTTCAGGAGATACTGCTGGAGCGTGGAACTGAGGACTGTGTTAATCAATGTTGGCCAACGCTCCGTGAAGCTCAGGGAGTGTTAGGGATAGGGCACAAAAAGAATGGGGCAGGATGATAGACACAGTCTTCTGTTGCCTAAGATCCCACATGTAATCAATGTGACAGCTCCGTTGGCTCCACAGCATTATCTCCTTCAAATGAAAACATGCCAAGTCAGACAGAAATATGGAACAGTATGCCCCAAGCTAGTAAGTAGCAGAGTCCTTCTGGCTGGCATGGGGCTTACATTAAAGTTGATGCCAAGTCCAGGCTGTCCCCCTGTGAAAGCTGTTCTTGGAATGCCTCTTTTGGCTGATCAAACGAATCCCCAGGTGACTATCAATCTCAGGTTCATTCCAGACTATGAACTTTTTTTTTTTTGACAGGCAGAGTGGACAGTGAGAGAGAGAGAAAGACAGAGAGAAAGGTCTTCCTTTTGCTGTTGGTTCACCCTCCAATGGCCACCGTGGCCGGCGCTCTGTGGCCGGCGCACCGCGCTGATCCGAAGACAGGAGCCAGGTGCTTCTCCTAGTCTCCCATGGGATGCAGGGCCCAAGCACTTGGGTCATCCTCCACTGCACTCCCTGGCCACAGCAGAGAGCTGGCCTGGAAGAGGGGCAACCGGGATAGAATCCGGTGCCCCGACCGGGACTAGAACCCTGTGTGCGGGCGCCTCTAGGCGGAGGATTAGCCTATTGAACCGCGGCATATGAGCTTTTCTTCAGAGAGGCAAATACACTGGGAGAGTTAGATGCTTTCCTAATTCATGCCAAATGACTTCAAGAGACCCAGATTCCGTACCTGTCCTTTCTCTGTTAGCAGTTGCCGCTGTCAACACTCAGTTTTCTCTTCTCTGTCTTCAAACCAGGAGGAAGGAGAGCCAGTAAAAGCAAGGTGGGGGTGGGGAGTGTGAGGTTTATAAAGATTAGTTAAATAGCATCATGAAATCATACGATGATTGAAAAGTATCATTTCATATATAAAAATGGAAAGAATATATTTATCAAAAGAGTTGGGGAAGAGTGGCCGGCACACTGGCTAACACAGGCCGAAAAGCCCAGCTCCGCATAATCTCCTTTGCAGTCCCTGCTTGCACAGTCAACTGTAAGTTTCTAAAATCTGCTTCCAGCATATACCACGCCCTAAAACACCAGATCATGTGTGTTATCACCCACGAGACATCTGCGGCTGGTCGTCCTACAGGGGCTGCAAACTGCCCGGCCCAAGCCAGGCCCTGTCATCTTCATGAGCCTGCCCCTATCACACGCCTCCTTATTTCAGAGCAGTCATCTATCTCTTCTTAATGTTTGACAAATTATACTTATTTGAAAAACAGGGAAGTTGAAAGAGAAGGAGGAGGAGGAAAAAGAGCGAGAGAGCGAGCGAGCGAGAGAGGTAGTGAGATCAATCTTCCATTCACTGATTGACTCCCCAGATGCCTACAATAGCTGGGGCTGAGTCAGGCCAAAAGCAGGAGCCAGGAACTTGATCTGTGTCTCCCACATGGGCAATAGGAGCCCATGTCCTTGAGTGATCAGCTGCTGCCTCCCAGGATGTGCATTAGCAGGAAGGTGGATCAGAAGTGGAGCTGGGACGCACACCAGGGACTCTGATGTGGGATGTGGGTCTCCCAAGCAGCATCTTCACTGCACCAGGCATCACCCCATAAGCTGCTTCCTCTTGGACTCCTCTCTTCTTCATCCTTCCTTCCAGTTACTCACCAGCTCCCTTCACTCTCCCTCTGCAATGTCCCCTCTACTCGGCCACTCTACCACTACCACCACAGTTTTCTGGTCTCGTTTTCTTCTCCAGAACTATTTAGAAACCTTAACCCTCCCAGTTAGCTGCCTTGATTATTTCTGCTAAATAAAGCTACCAGCACTCTTCTCTGGTGTACCCTCTGTCCAGGACCAACTTCATACCAAGGCCTTTTAGATTCCTTCTCTCGTCTCCATTTCTTATTTGTTTTTTTTTCTGAGTCATAAATTTACTCAAATACTGTACAGCAGTGTGTGTTGTGTGAATGCTGTTCCCCTTGGCTAGACGCTCTTCCTCTCCTCTCCCCTGTCCTCTGCTGCCTGCCCGGATGCTGAGAGAATCCACCTCTGTGGACCACAGTCCCACTGCATCCTCCCACCCCTGGGATTTCCAGCAGATCAGCACATTTCCTTGGCTCTGCCAAGCTCTTCCAAGTTGTTGTCTACTTCCTACTACTACTTTGTGAATCCTTTGATTCATTTTTCAGCATTGGTGCCAAGTTTAAATGGAAAGACTGAATTATTCCAGTCACTTAAAAGAATGTGAGGAAAAGATTGATATATGTGACTACTTAAAGCATTTTAAACCTTTTTATACAATAAAAACATGTTGAAAAGAAAGAAAATCCATTGTCAATGTATATACCTTGCTCTTACGAATCAACAAGAGGCAAACATTCCATTAGGAAGCATAGACAAAGGGCATGAAAAGAGTATACAATAATAGACAATACAACTTGGAAATCAGCACATGGAACAAAAGTTAGCCTCAAAATGGAATAAATACAATTTAAAACAATGAGATAGTTTGTTCTGCCAAGTGGCAAAGATTATATAATAACTAGTATTATATATCTAAAATAAAACAAGTTTTCTTAGATACTGCTGTTGGAGGTTTCTGTTCCTACGACTCTCTGAAGTCTAGTTTGGTAATGGGCTTTAAAGAGCTTTAAAGTGGTCATGCATTTGACTTTGGTGATATAGTTTCCAGACTACTTAATGTGAGAAAGTAATTACGATCTAAGTGAAAAGCTAGTCATAAAGCTTGTAATATATCTCCAAGTACAAAATGTTAAACAGAAATACATAGATATTTCTACATGCAGTTAATATAAATGTACAAATACATATACCCTTTCTATACATGTTCTAGTTTTAGATTTATTAAAGGTCTCTCTAAATTTGGAAACAAATGATAAGGCCTAAAAAACAGATAGGCGTTGAATTCTCATTTTACATAATTCTATTAATGTAATTCAGCATCATATTGGGAATTCTTCTTAAATAGCAACTTGGAGTCATTTGGCTATATTCAGCTTATAATAAAAGTATTAAATTATATTGAAATGTCCTAGGGAGTCCCCATATACACTACCAGTAAACCATGTCAACAGCTATGTCGCCTCTACTCCAGTTCTGTCATTGCTCTTAAAACTTTTTGAAAAACTAAGGTATACAGACCTCATGCATTTCATATATACAGATTTAGGAACATAATGATTCTTCCCACCCTACCCTCCTCCTGCCAGTGCTCCCACCCTTCTTCCTTCTCTCTCTCCTATTCCCACTCTTAATTTTTCCAAAGATTTATTTTCTATTTACTTTATGCTCATAAGATTAACCTTACAGTTAGTAAAGAGTTCAACAAATAGCATGAGGAAAAAAAAAACACTATTCCTCAACAGTAGAGACAGGGGCTGTAAATAATCATTGAATCTCAAAGTGTCAATTCCAGACTTTATTATTGCACCTGTTAAGCTTTATTTTCTTAGACTGGGCCCGCTGCACCTTCCTGCTGAGATCTGCATTTCCATGACTTGTCCCTTTTGGCTGCACGTCTTTGGTAAATGTAGCATCTTGCCTTGTGTAGTCTCATCCTAGTGGCCAGTAAACATGCTGCACAGGGTAGGTTTTCCTGTGGTTCCCAGGAGGCTTCTAAGGGAGCCGATGGCAGCAGGTCAAGGGAAGAGCATTTGGGAACACAGGAGCGTTTTCTAGAAGAGCCCAAGTTAGAGTATTCAGAAGCTGAGGAGGGAGCTTGCTTAACTGGGGCATAGTACCGTGATGGGGAGGGAGGGATACACCATAGAGTAGGTTCTCATTAGGCCCTGGTGCAAGTCTTGATTGCTCTGCACACACGGTTTAAATCGTAAAACTGACTGCACATGCTGCACCATGCCATTGGAGGGAGTGCTTAGTGGGGGCTCTGTGTGCGTTCGCCTCACTTAATCTACACCACAGCCCTGGGTCACAGACAATGCTAGGTCACCTGATGGCCAAGGTCACACAGCTGATAAATGCTAGAGCTGCTGTTTGAATTCCAAAAGTCTGAGCTGTTAAGTTTTATAGCTCATACCCATTTCAGTTATGACATATTACATCCGACTTCTAACTTCCATGCTATATTATTTTCTGCAGTGGAAGGAGTAAGTCAAATGGCCCAATGCTGATTGTAATAAGACATATCTCTTATGACTACAAGAAAACATATTATAGTCATATCTTCAATGCTAATATGGCTTTCTTATTTTCCTCCAGAGAGAAGAAATCATCAAACTTATTGTTGAAATATGCGGTAAGATTTGATTACCAAAATCCACCCATCGCTTTAAAGTAGCAGCTCACTATGGTGAGATGGTGTGCTCATCCAGAAGATGTGTGATAATTCAGATGGTGGAAAGTGTGAAGCTCATTTCCAAAGTCAGTGAGAAACAGAAAGGTAGCAGCCAGAGAGGCCATGGGATTCCTGGAGCATGGTCTACCCAGGCTGGTTAAAGAGCGTGAAGGGGCCGGCGCCGTGGCTCACTAGGCTAATCCTCCGCCTTGCGGCGCCGGCACACCAGGTTCTAGTCCCGGTCGGGGCGCCGGATTCTGTCCCGGTTGCCCCTCTTCCAGGCCAGCCCTCTGCTGTGGCCAGGGAGTGCAGTGGAGGATGGCCCAGGTGCTTGGGTCCTGCACCCCATGGGAGACCAGGAAAAGCACCTGGCTCCTGGCTCCTGCCATCGGATCAGTGCGGTGCGCTGGCCGCAGCGCGCCGGCCGCGGCGGCCATTGGAGGGTGAACCAACGGCAAAGGAAGACCTTTCTCTCTGTCTCTCTCTCTCACTGTCCACTCTGCCTGTCAAAAAAAAAAAAAAAAAAAAAAAAAAAAACGTGAAGGTACCAGCCTAGGGGGTGTGGGCAGCTGGATGTTTGGTAAACACCATGGCTATTTGCACACAGTGGCATTTACCTGCGCTTGGGAAGAAAAACCCCACAAAGGAAATATGACTGCCAGAGCCCAGCTGGTATCTGAGTTGGCCTGGTTGGTGGCTCTGATATTCATGTTTTTCCTGAAGCCAAGAAGTCGTTCTGAATCTCTGGGGTTGCACTTGTTGGAGCAGGAAAGCAGAGGCAGGGGTCGCCATGATTTGCAACTATGTCTAAATGCTTCAGGCTGAAAGACTTAGACTTAAAATAGAGGAAGTCAGGGAAAGAAATTCGTCAATAGGCAGGAGATGAACAGAATAACAATGAAGGAAACATTTTTTTTTTTAAGATTTATTTATTTATTTGAAAGAGTTACACAGGAGAGGAGAGGGGAGGGGAGGGGAGGGAGGGAGGAAGGGAAGGGGAGAGAGAGAGAGAGAGAGACAGAGACAGAGACAGAGACAGGTCTTCCATCCACTGGTTCACTCCCCAGATGGTCACAATGGCCGGAGCTATTCCAATCCGGAGCCAGGAGCCAGGAGCCTCCTCCAGGTCTCCCTTGTGGGTGTAGGAGCCCAAGGACTTGGGCCATCTTCTACTGCTTTCCCAGGCCATAGCAGAGAGCTGGATCGGAAGAGGAGTAGCCAGGACTAGAACCGGTGCCCATATGGGATGCCTGCACTTCAGGCCAGGGTGTTAACCCACTGAGCCACAGCGCCAGCCCCAACATTAGTGTTTAAAGTGGGAGGGATGGGGCTGGCGACGTGGCTCACTTGGTTAATCCTCTGCCTGTGGTGCCAGCATCCCATATGGGTGCCAGGTTCTAGTCCCGATTGCTCCTCTTCCAGTTAGCTCTCTGCTGTGGCCCAGGAAAGCAGTAGAAGATGGCCCAAGTCCTTGGACCTTGCACCTGCATGGGAGACCAGGAAGATGCACCTGGCTCCTGGCTTCGGATTAGCACAGTGCTGGCCGTGGCGGCCATTTGGGGTGTGAACCAATGGAAAGAAGACCTTTCTCTCTGTCTCTCTCTCTCTCTCACTGTCTATAACTCTACCTGTCAAATAAATTTAAAAAAAAATGGGAGGGACATCACTGTCCTTCTGTACACAGGGTCCTGGAATTGGTTTGCCCCCGCCCCCTTTCTGAACTTAAGAATAGCCTGGCTTTCTGTGGTTTCTGGCATCTGGAAGCCCCGGGAAAACAGCACATGTTTTCCTGATGATTTTCTACAGCAGGTTGTTGGGCAACGTGAGTGTACAAATCCAGAAGCAGTGCCTGATCATTTGTGTTTCCTGCTCACTCTGGTGCTGGTTTTGAATGGTTGTTTGTTGACCTAAGGAGAAATTGACCAGTGACCAGTTCTGTGTAGGGCGACTCCCCTCAAAACTTTCATTATCTGGACAAAGTGCAAGGCTCCCTGAGAACCAGGAAGTCTCCATAATTGTCACTGTGGAGGACAGAGACATGACCCACAGCAGTTAGGGGAGGTGTGTCTGTGCACAGCTGAAGCACCCAACCCTTCCTGCACGGTGGACACTGTCATCCCATTATTTCATCTATTGGCCATGCCAGTGAGCAAATCTCCATTTCCATGGAGCAATATGGTAGAAGGCTGGGACATCAACTTTCAGATTTAGATTAGATCCATATGGAGGAATGATGAAAAACAAATTTAGGGTGGTGGTTACCTTTTGAGAGAAGGAGAGGAATGTATTTAAGAAGGCCTACATAGAGCATGCTCACTCTTTCAAAGTATTTTATATTGTAATCTAAGAAATGAGCCCGTAGATATTTGTTATTTTATCAAAGACAGTATGTTTTTTCCTAGGATGTTATGTTTGAAAAAGAGTCAAGTCTAGGAACCAGAAGGGAGGCAATTGTCAGTTATTTTTATTTTTATTTTTTTTAAAAGATTTATTTATTTGAGAGGCAGAGCTACAGAGAGAGGGAGAGACAGAGAGAAAGGTCTTTTGTCTACTGGTTCACTCCCCAAATGGCCACAATGGCTGGAGTTGGACCAATCTGAAGCCAGGAGAAGGAGCCTCCCCCAGGGCCCCAACACAGGTGCAGGGGCCCAAGCATTTGGGCCATCTTCTACTGCTTTCCCAGGCCATAGTAGAGAGCTGGATAAGAAGAGGAGCAGCCAGGACATGTACTGGCACCCATATGGGATGCCAGTGCCACAAGTGGAGGCTTGGTCCACTACACCACAACACAAGTCCCATTTGTCAGCTATTTTTACAGTCACAGAAAAGAAAAATTGATATTCAGGCCTCAGGTGCATCCTTTCTCTTCTCACTCCCCCCCCCCCCCCGCCACTATGATGCACTCAGCCTGCAATGCTTTGATTTTTTCGTTTATCGTTTAGGTTGCGGGCCCAAATGCCAGGTGCCCTCCCTAGAGCTGGTGTTTGTGATTGATAGCTCGGAAAGTGTGGGGCCAAAGAACTTCCAGATCGTCAAAGATCTGGTGAAGACTCTGGCTGACCGGATTGCCGTAGACCTTGCCACAACCCGCATTGGCATAATCAACTATAGCCATCAGGTGGAGGAGGTGGCCAATTTGAAGCATTTCTCCAGCAAGGATGACTTCAAGCTGGCCGTGGACAACATGCAGTACCTGGGGGAAGGCACCTACACAGCCACGGCTCTCCAAGCAGCCAACAACATGTTCAAGGATGCAAGGCCAGGCATAGAGAAGGTGGCCTTGGTCATCACCGATGGGCAGAGAGATTCCCGAGATCCAAAGAACCTGACTGAGGTGGTGAAGGAAGCCCGGAACATCAGTGTGGAGACATTTGTAATTGGGGTGGTGATGAAAAATGACCCCAACTTTGACATGTTCCACCGGGAAATGATTTTGATTGCTACTGACCCGCAACACGTCTCTCTGTTTGACAACTTCTTTGCCCTGCAAGGTAAGCCTGGCTTCCCCGGGAGAAGGAATTGATGCTGTTCTTCCGGGTGTCCCATCACTGGACCAGCTGGACCACAGCAGGAAATCAAAAGGCTCCCAAGGTTCACGCCAGGGTTCAATTGTAGCTCACGAACTCCGGAAGGCATCTTTGGCTTTAGAGGGTACATCCGTTGTTTTTATTCACACGCAGCAAATGCTGAGTCGGACTCGGAGTTGTTCACCTCCAGTGTCCCTGCTCCATGGACAGGGATTGAAGAGAGAGAATAGGACTTGGAGGGACTGCTAAGATCGGTTCATGTCCAGAAAGTTACCTAACTGGAATGAATGGTGGAGCAAGCCAGCGGCAAGACAAAACACAACCCCAGAATTAAAATAAAGCATTGAATGAGGTGTTATGGTAATGCAAAGAGATGAGAAACACAAGTACCTGGGATTTTCTATTCTGTTTTAGTGAAACGCAGAAAGCAGTGAGTAGATAGGTTGATGTCAGAAATTTATCACAAAGAATAACCTTTAGCTCGTCCCCATGCAGTCAGTGTTAATCCATGAGCTCCATATGCTAATTTTACCCTTTCACCATAACTGGTATTTACTAATGAGGCAGCCCAAGATGCTGACTCATCTGCAATTAAATCATGGTCAGTGTCGGTTCACAGGAAATACACTCCAGTTATTTGGAAACTGATGACTCACCCTGATAGGGCATGTACCTGGCAAGCGTGTGAAGGGAGAGGCTTCAGCGGGGCTCCGCTGGGGGCTCCGCTGTGCCTTCCAGCCTCCCGACGCGCTGAGCGCAGACGCTTGGGGCTTCAGGCGCTGCCTGCCCCAGGGCGGCACAGCCGGCTCAGGAGCTTCCATGTTCACCTCCCCTCCTTCTCCAGGGCTTTCTAACCTGGGGTTCTAACTCCTCGTCACCCATGTAGGTGACCGGCGGGTTTATTGGCTACAATCCATCCCACCGGGCTGTTCATGTGGTGGAATGGCCCAAGAATTATACATTCCCGGGAAAAATTATATTTTAATGACTGAAGAACTTTATTATCTTATTTGAAGGCATTAATAATTTGTTAGAAGCAAGAACCAGTGAGGAATGTATTTTTAAAGTGCCTGGCCTTTTGCTAGTGCTAAAATCAGAAATATAGCCTATTCAGCTTCTTTTTTGAAAAAAATTTCATCTGTGTATTTTCCTTTTATTTGAAAAGGAGGAGGAAAAAGAGAGATCTTGCCCAAATGCCTGCCACAGCCAGGGCTAGGCCAGGCTGAAGCAAGGATGCTGGACCTCCAACTGGGTTTCCCACAGGGATGGCAGGAACCCCAATATGGGCGTCAACACCTGCTGCTTCCCAGGGTGTACAATAAAGGAAGCTGGATAAGGTGGGGGGGGGGGCAGGACTCAACCAAGCCCTTTGATATGGAATGCAGGTGTGCTAAGCAGTGTCTTAACCACTGTGCCAAACACTCACCCCTCTGTTCAACTTCTTATGGATGAGGTTAGCTTTTGGCATAGAGTAATTCACAGTTAAGTGATTTGTTGGGCAAACAATCAATAAGATAATTCTGTTGCCTCTTTGTGCACATGTTATTAAATTAATTTATTTTAGGTGATCTCTTACAGATGATGTAGAAATTCTAAGTTCAAGACTAGATTTTAAGTAATTTTTCATTTCATCTCCCTTTTTCACTTCTAAGAAATGCTGAAGCAAAGATTGTCTCGGAAAATTTGTAAGAAGTTTGATAAATACTTTTATGAAGTTTTTGGTTCTCCTGCTCTTCAACCTGGACTTGGGATGTCAGGGGGAAAACTCAGTGAATCCACTCCGGAGCCGTGGAAGGAGGTTTTGGCATCGGTAGGTGGCTGTCTTGTCTGCTCTGTGGACCGATAGTGGTGCGTTCTGTCTGTATCACCAGAGGCCGTCTTGCCTGGTGTGGTCAAGGATCAGCTGGGGAATTCTCAGGCTCTTAGTTCTCAGTTTTAGCACCTCAAATCCAGACTTCCAGTTGATAGCTCTGGAATAAACATGAAACTATGATTTTTAAAAAGGCCCTATTTTATAGATCTTTTAAAATTCAGCATTGAAAATGCTAGTTTATAGCATACCACTGCCATGGCCACATTGTCACGTGCGCTGGGATAGCGAACGCAGCACTGCTTGTCTTCACCCGCTGATCATGCTTTCAGGTTCCTTGGTACCAGACTACAGCTCTCTCTCCCATCTGCACACCTGCTCCCCACTCTGTACTCTCTTGAGGGTTTTTCAAGTGACACCCTCCCAGCCTGCGAGCCACGGTGTGCTCAGAGTGGGGACTGGAAGGGAGGCTGTGTGTCCAAGCTCCCAGTCACGTTGCTTGAGAAGAACTACCTCCTGCACGAACTGAGCCGAATGTGTCTGTCCTCATGGCAAGCTTCCGGGGATGGACCTGGGCCAATCAGATCATGAGCGACTGTTAGGTTCTTTTGGGTAAAAACAAGGGAGCCTCTAATAGTTATAGCTAACTGGGTGCTGTAGCCCCTTGCCCACGAAGTTATAACTAAAGCAAGTCTAGGTTGATTTCTGTTGCACATATGGATGTCCCCTGGCTAGCCTGCACACAGCTGTTGTGCCCTGTCCCCTAGTTCAGTGAAGTTCCTGCACAGTCCTTTCGTGAAGGCTTCCTGTGCACGGAGGATTCATGAGCAAGTGCAGCAGTATTCGAGCATCTGGATTCAGCTAACTGTAGTTAGACAGAGGCCCGGAGCACACCCAGCTCAGTAGCTGGACGCAGCACCATCGAGGAATCAGGACTGCGATGCCATGCTGAAGGGCATAGACTACAGGAGTCACTCATCAGACTTCAATTTCTTTTTAGTCAACTCCATTGACTTCAGTAGGAAAAGAACAATGGTGAATAACAGATGTAAACACCACAAATATGTTGATGAATGCTGCCTCGTAAGGGATGTAGTGAAGATACTTCTCACTTCCCATTATTTTGTAGCTTTCAGGCCCTCCACCTCAGTGTCATTACCTCCTCATTCCACTTGTATACCTGTTCTGGGGAACCTAGTAAAAATAATAAACATGGGACTGTATTTGTTTATATTTGTGCTCACTGTATATCTTCCCATCGATTTACATAGCCAGTTTGGAAACCCACATTTCAAGCCAAATAAATAATCCAGTGCCAAGCAAAGTCCAGTTTCTAATCCAATATTGAGCAAATGTATTAATCTCACTTAAGTTAAAATATTTTCAACCAAAATACAGTAGGGCTTCAAAGGGTTCAGAAAATATGCAGTTTGTTTTAATTCCAATTTTCCATGAATTTTGATGCCCCTCACTGCTTGTATTTAACTTATGACCTCTATCGCTTATTTAAAGTGCTCAGCTGAGTATGTGTGCATGAATTAAGGATGAGGTCATAATCAATTTATCTTGTGGTACTATTTGCACTTTCCAAGGAGAACAGTATTTGTCCATCCTAAGCCATGGATGTAGAGGATCTTCTGAACCAATGCATAATTAATTGCATAAACTTCATCTAGAACACTTCAGCATCTCTTTTTGGTTCTTTAGGTTTCACTCCTTCGCATTAGTCCTGCTGCAAGCAAGCAGTTGGCATTAACTGCAGGGCCATCAATGAAGTCTAAATCCATTTCCAAGATGAAGCAATTGATAATTATATCCAGATTTCTACCAATTGCTCTGACTCCTTGCTGTTGCTCAGCTGTACTTCCTTCATGCCCTATCGCTGACTTCAAGATTACCACGAGGCTGGGTCCCTTTGCTGGGCAACCTAAGAAATACTCTACTCAGGATTTAGTTTTCTGACATAAAGTAAAGCCATTCACAACATTTATTTTTTGACCAGTCTGGCATGAGATTCAAAAAAATAAAATAAAATTTGACAAAATGCTATATTAGCAGTAAAATTGATATACACAGGCATTTCTTTTTTGATGTTGTTGTTTTTATTTTTTAATTAAGACTATTTGTGCTCCCACACACGAGGGAGAACCTGCAAAGTTTGTCTTTCTGTGTCCGGCTTGCTTCACTCAACGTGATGCCCTTCAGTTGCATCCATTCTGATTAGGATTTCATTCTTTTTTATAGCTGAACAATGCTCTATTTTATATGTGTGTGTGTATATTTTTCTTTCTTTATTCATTCAGCTTATGATGGATACCTTGACTGATTCCACATTTTGCCTATTGTAAACAGTGCTGCTACAAATGGTGGCATGGTTGTCTCTTTGATACCATGTGTCTTTTGGGTATATACCCAGTAGTGGGATTGCTGGGGCATATGGCAGGTCTATTTCTAGTTTTTAAAGAAATCTCCATGCTGTTTTCCACAGTGGCACCTCCAAATGCCTTCACCCTTGGGATTCAGGTTTTAATGTATGCATGATGGAAGGACAGGAACACAATGGAGACAATGGAGGACTTCACAGAGGAGGTGGCATTGAGCCACATTAGTGGAGGGAATGGCGTTTGTAGCAGGGGGAGCATGTGGGCAATGGGACATTCCAAATTGCATGGCTTTGAAGAAGGACGGGCAGCTCAGGCTAATTGCAGCCCAGGGTGTGTGTGCTGAACAGTAAGAGTTAAAGCTGAGTAGATAGGCTGGCGCCGCGGCTCACTAGGCTAATCCTCCGCCTTGCGGCGCCGGCACACCGGGTTCTAGTCCCGGTTGGGGCGCCAGATTCTGTCCCGGTTGCCCCTCTTCCAGGCCAGCCCTCTGCTGTGGCCAGGGAGTGCAGTGGAGGATGGCCCAAGTACTTGGGCCCTGCACCCCATGGGAGACCAGGAAAAGTACCTGGCTCCTGCCATTGGATCATCGCGGTGCGCGGGCAAAGGAAGACCTTTCTCTCTGTCTCTCTCTCACTGTCCACTCTGCCTGTCAAAAAAAAAAAAAAAAAAAAAAGCTGGGTAGATAATCTGAGGACTAATTGTGATCGCTTCATGTGTTCAGCTGCGGAGCGTAAACTTGGTTCATAGCCAGGCAGCCGAGAGCCAACAAAGGTGATTTTTAAAAATTATTTATTTGTGTTTATTTGAAAGGCAGAGAGAGGGGGAGGGAGATTGATTGAGTGCCTATCCATTGGTTTATTCTTTTTGTTTGTTTTTAAGATTTATTTGTTTACTTGAAAGGCAGAGTTAGACAGAGAGAGGTCGAGACAGAGAGAGGTCTTCTATCCACTGGTTCACTCCCCAAATGGCCGCAACAGCCGGGGATGGGACAGGCCGAAGTCAGCAGCCAGGAGCTTCTTCCTGGTTTCCCACAGAGGTGCAGGGGCCCAAGGACTTGGGCCATCTTCCACTGCTTTCCCAGGCTATAGCAGAGAGCTGGATTGGAAGTGGAGCAGCCGGGAGTCGCACCCATATGGGATGCCGGCACTGCAGGTGGCAGCTTCACCTGCTACACCAAAAGAGGCATTTTTAAAGGAAAGGTTGCATTTGGTTCACAGAAGCCAAAAACGCTGGACGCAGTGTCAAGATAACCAAGAGAAGAGCTGGGGAGACCGGAGGCTGGGTTCAAGGTGTGGTAGTCCAGGTGGGAAACAATGAGGCCCTAAGAGAGGGAATAAAATCGAGTTGTAGCAGTTCTGAAAGTCGATCATAGGGTAGAACTAGAAGGATTTAGCAGTTTTGGTGTGACTATTGGATTTCTAGCTTTAGGGTGGGATGGATTAAAATACCATATGGAGGAAGAGTAGGACTTCTGCAAGGAAATAGTTGAGTTTGCACCATATTGAGTGCCTGAGGGTCACAGAATGGACATGCCTCTGGTCTCATGTCCCAGGGCATCTGACAGCCCCATGAGACAAGTGACACTAGCAGGCTATGACAGATGAAGCATTCTAGTGGCTGGTGAGGGAAGAGCATAAGAAGAGTGATGGGTAAATAGTGTCGCTTGGTAGCTAAGAGTCATATGGAGGAGGAAACTGGGCATCTGCTAGGTCTTTCTAGGGGTGCTAATGATTAAGATGGTAAGAGCTTGCCATGATCTTGAACCTGGATAATGCATCTTGTCTCTAGGCTTTCTTACTCTGGCTGACTGCACCAAGGCAAAACTGAAGTTTTAAATAATTAATTTCCTAATATTTAGCCTGAAGATACATTAATGTATTTATATCCACATCTAAATCTGTGAGGGTACCCCAGAGTTTAGAGGAAAATGAGATTAAAATATAAGGTTATTTTGATGCAAAACCATTTTTTCCTGATTTTGAAGATACTGCAATTTTTATATAGTTCAGTGACTTTTCAACATTATGCAGCTGTTTGGCCACAATGCACATTTTCAATGAACTGTTAGATTTCATTTATTTTTGCTTATTTGAAAAGCAAGAGACAAAGACAGAAATGGATAGACAGAGATTTTTTATCTGGTTCACTTATCACATGCCCACAACAGCCAGGGGTAGGCTGAGCCAGAAACTTAATCTGGATCTTGCACTTGGGTGGCAGGGACACAAACACTTGAGCCATCACCTGCTGCCTCGTTTGGTGTGTGTTAGCCAGAATCTGGAATCCGAAGCAGAGCCAAGACTTGAACCTAGGCTCTCTGCTGTGGGATGTGGGCATGCCAAGTGGTGTCTTACCCACTGTGCAAATGCCCATTCCCCTTATAAAGTTTTTAAAGACCCCCATTCATGAATTGCAAAAAACTTTTGCACCAAAATACACTTGTATTTCAATTTGGTTTTCCATGAGCTTTGTGAAATACCCTAGTGTAAATATGCAGTAAATGCACTCACAAATACAAAAACATTTTTATGTCTCTCTGCACTCACCACTGCCTCTAATAAATGTAATTGCAGTATCCAAACATCTAAAATGAAGGGAATCTGTCAAAACTTTCAT